GCGTGCGTGTGCGGCGCGTGCGTGTGCGGACCATGTTGTCTGCGTGTGGGAGACACGGCATGACCGCGCGTGCGACTGAGGCACGTGACAACCACGTGCCCGCGTGTGTGAGGCGCGGGAGACCCGGTGTGCGGCAGGAGGGGAGCAGGGGTCCCCGCGGGCGAGGGAGTCCTCACGGCCCCGAGCCGTGAGCTGTGGGGCAGGGCCCGGCCGCGTGCGCCCCGCTCCGTTGAGGGCCCCGGGGGGGTCGGGGACCGGCAGCCCCGGGGTGTTGCCCATGGGGACCGTGGACACGCGGAGCGGCCATGTCGTGTTCGTTCTCTGTCCGCTGCTGGCCCGACGCCAGGCTTCCTGAGCTGCTGGAGCCCGGCGGCCTGGCCCTCGTCTCCGGTTCCTGCTGGACAGCGGCCGCGCCTCAGTGCCACCACCGCGGACGAGCCGCGGATGAGCCGCCCCCTCCGTCCTCCCAGATTAAGGTGTTCTACGAGGAGCACCTGCACCTGGATGACGAGATCCGCTACATCCTGGACGGCAGCGGCTACTTCGACGTGCGGGACAAAGAGGACCGGTGGATCCGCATCTTCATGGAGAAGGGGGACATGATAACCCTACCCGCGGGCATCTACCACCGCTTCTCGCTGGACGAGCAGGTAGGAGGGCGCGCTGCAGCCGCGAGGGCCCTGGCCCGCGTGTGGGGGCGTGGACCCCGCTGCTCTGCCCCACGGGGCTGGCTGGAGCTGCCGTCCCCGCTGCCACTGTCCCCACCGCGGGCTCCTGCCCACGTGGGCGGCCCCGCTGACGGCCAGCAGCCTTGTCCGGTCCCTTCCTGCTGTCCGGTGCTGGGACCCGGAGCCTCCTACTTTTGTGACCAGCACACATGGGAGGTCGTTGCTAGGGTAAATTTCCCAAAAGCCAAAATGGGATTGCAAGATCTCCACGTTTTTACTTTAAGATTTTATTTATTTGACACAGAAAGAGTTCAGAAGTAGGGGGAGGGAGAGGGAGAAGCAGACCCGCCTCTGAGCAGGGAGCGCATTGTGGGGCTTGATCCAGGACCCCAGGATCATGACCTGAGCCACAGGCAGATGCTTAACCCACGGAGCCACCCTGGCGCCCCCCCATTTTTGCTTTTGAGGGGCGATGCCACGCTGGCCTCCCTGCTGTTCAGCAGCCCGAGGGCCTTGCCGAGCGTGAGGGCCACAGCAGGACCGGGGAGCGCGGGCGGGCGGGTCCGTGCGGGTCTGGGCAGACGGCAGGTTGTGGAGAGCGGGGGTCAGCACCGAACCCCTGCGGCAGAGGCCTTGCTGCCTGAGCCTGAGGCCTGCCGGCCTGGCAGCTGGTGCCCGCTGGCTCTGCGGGGAGAACGTGTGTGGCTAGGACCCCCGCCATGGCCAGCGACCTCGTCTTGGAGGCGGGGTTCCCATCCCAGCGTGTCTGTGTTTTCCAGAACTACGTGAAGGCCATGCGGCTGTTTGTGGGAGACCCTGTGTGGACGGCATACAACCGGCCCGCCGACCACTTCGAGGCCCGGGGCCGGTACCTGGAGTTTCTGGCTCAGACAGTGTAGCGGCGCTCACGGGCCAGGCCGCCTTCGCCTGGTCCCGAATCCCAGCAGAGAGTCCGTCCTCCTCTTCCGCCGTAGATGTGGGGCTGGGTGAGCTTTCCTTGGCAGGACTGTCCGATCAGTGTGTTTAACGAAGGGAGCTTCATTATAAAAGTGATTTTTACGTGGCAGCAACTCTGGGACGGTGGACAAGCCACGTTCCCTTCCCCTAATTCAAGGTCAGCCCGAATGAGGGTCCTCTCCCCTCCCCCTCCCCCAGTGGGTGAGCCCGGGCTGCCCATCCGACCGGCTCTGGGCCTGTAAGCAGACGTCCGCCTGCGCGGTGCCTGCCTCGTGAGAACGTGTCACAGGAGAGGACAGGACCGGCCAGATAGACGACACTCGTCTCCCAGAACTGGGTGGGGAATGCTGTCGGGGCTGAGCTGTCCTGTGAGTGGAGGGATACTCGGAGCTGCTGATGCCACTTTCTTGCTCAAAATTCAGTACCTCCCCTAATCTTACACTCGTGGCTGGTGGTCCTTAATCACCACAGTCATGGTTGCTCGTGCGTGTATATAACAAATTTCTATTTTATCTGCATTAGCATTTAGTCACGGAGATCTCTGGGTTGATTTAGTCACGGAGATCTCTGGGTTGATTTGCCTGTTAACTCTTCTACAAGCAACTTTTGACTTTAATAGGAAAACTACTGCATTATCTTTTTCTCAATAATTTTGAGATACAGCTTTGCCTAATTTGTTATAATAATAGAAAAATCCCAAATCAACTTCATGTTTTGACGGGCAGATCATTTTAAGGATTTTTTAAACTGAATTAAAAATCTTCGTATTAAAATGCCTTTTTCATTGCCTCCACGTGGGTCTTGGGAACATGTGCCCATGGCACAAGTTGCGACGATCCTGCAAACTCAGTTTTAGGATTGGAGCGTGTGCGGGCACCGGGAGGATGGTGGCGGGCCACCCAGCTGTGTCCACCCCTGACGGGGAAGTCGGGGAGGCTCTTCCTGACGACAGCACTCCCCCGGGGTTGGGCGCTCGTCCAAGGGGAATGTTGCAGAGGATGGATCCTTCGTAAAGGCATCGCCGTTAGGGCTCAGAGACCAGAGTCCTCCCCGGGAGCACGGAGGTCGGCCTCCCCAGTAGAACAGCCCTGGTCGCCGCCTTTGTTCGTGCGGTTGTCGCTTGAGAGAGACGCCCGCTCACTGCACGAGGAGATCTCCGTGGACGTTACTTTGCAGATGCGTCCTTTTTAAATTTTTATTTATTTTTTGAAGATTTATTTATTTGAGAGACAGCATGGGGGCGGTGGGGAGAGACTCTCGGGCAGGTTCCCCATGGAGCGTGAGCTGGACGGGGCTCTGTTTCGGGACCCTGGCATCGTGACCTGAGATGAAGGCAGGTGCTCAAGCGACTGAGCCGCCCGGACGCCCCCGAAGCATTTGTCTTTTATTAAGGGCGGATAAGCCTCAGGCGGCTTGAACTTCCTTAGCGGTGGCTGTGCCGAGGGGTGTGCAGACTGGATGGTCACGGAGGAGGAAGCTAACGGAAGTGCCGGGCAGCGAGGGCCCCGGGCGCGCCAGCGGGGAAGGGAGCCCCCGGGCCGTCTGCGGCAGCCTTGTGAGTGAGGGTAAGTGTATCCCCTGTTACCGCCGTCGAACGGGTTGAGGTCACTCGTTTGCGGAGGAATCGTGTTGCACAGAGTCCATCGCGGCTACAGTAAGTGGAAGTCCTTGACGGCGGCGCCGCCCTCCGCCCACAGGGGTGCTGTTGGCGGCCCAGAGCTTCGGGGGAGCGGAAATCAGTGGAATCAGGCCTGTGGGCGAGCGGGACAGGAACAGGGCCGGGGGGCCGGGGAGCTGGGGGCCGAGGGCTGGGGGTGTTGCGCGCCAGCCCGTGAGCAGGTGCTGGAAGGAGATGCGCCCCCCGGGGGCCGGCTGGATGTCCGCACCCGAGGCTTAGCCCTCGCTGTTGGTCCCCGCCTGGTCTTGTCCACGGAACGTGCGTCATGCCGCATGTGTGATGCGAGCTCCTCGCTGCAAGTGACACAAACCCAGAGGGAGGAGCTTCCGGCAGGAGCGCGAGGCTGGTGGGACACGCGGGACTGCATCTGGGTGAAGGGACGGGAGCGTCCCCCACTGCCTCCCGTCTTTGCCTCTGGCCTGCCGGTCGGTCTTCCTGTCCTTGGCAGGTAGGACGTCTCCGCACAGCGGGAACGTGCTGTCCCGCTTCCTGCCCAGCTCTGGTCCTGGTGCTTCCCCGTGACGGTCCTGGGCGGCCGCAGCCGGGGCGGCAGCCTGGGTGAGGACGGGCCCACCGAGCAGTCATGCTGCGAGGGGATGCACGGGGCGGGGAGTGCCCGGGCCAACACCCCAGACAGTGCCCTCCACGTCCCGCAGATCCTGTGGGTGTGAAGTCAGACCAGCGTGGCGTGTGCAGCCGCGGCGTAAGTTCTGGATTGACCGCGCACAGACATCCTGCGCTCCACGCCTGGGAAAAGAAACCACCCAGCTTTTCCTGCTTTGTCAGAGGAGCTGGTCTGCCCGGGTTTTAAAACATCTCACACAGTCGGCACAGTGGCTTTGGGTCCGTCTAGGGAGATAAGAGACCCATCGGCACAGTGCACTGCCCTGGCCACTGGGCCCTGTGCCTGCTGAGCCCGTAGCCCCATGGTGACCCTAAAGTTTCCAGAAAGAGCCACATCAGGATTACATGCGGGCTGGGGGGGGGCTCCGTCTGCGAAGCGTCTGCCACTGGCTTAGGTCATGATCCAGGGTCCTTGGATCGAGCCCCACTTCAGGTTCCCTGATCTGCGGGGAGCCTGCTTCTCCCCCTGCTTCTGCTTGCTGCTCCCGTGCTTGTGCTCTCTCTCGCTCTCTGACAATAAAATCTTTAAAAAAAAAAAAAAAAAAAAGATTACACGCGGACTTTGGAGGCCGCAGCTCTGGAGCAGAACCCACGGCCCCCAGTACCCTCTGCGTTCTGTGCCCCTCAGGAGCCGCCCCAACTTGCCTGCAAGCCCCTGCGGCAGGCAGTGAGCCTCCCGGGCAGAACGCCACGCTGGGGCTTGCCCGCCCCCTCGGTTTCCTGCAGGTCTGGGCGCTGGGTGACGGGGGTCTCGCAGGGGACCGCCTGCTCATCCTCACGTGGCAGAGGGGGCAGTGGCTCTGGAACTGCCCTTCTCAGATGGGAATCCCATCACAGGCCCTGCCCTCACGGCCTCCCCTAACCCGTCACCCCCAGCGGCCCTGCCTCCTCACGCCATCCCCCGGGGTCTAGGCCTTCACCATGTGAGTTTGGGGGGCGTACGCGCAGCCCACCGCGCATGGGCGGTAGAAGCTGAAAAACTGGGGTGTCTGGGTGGCCCCGTCATTAAGTGTCTGCCTTCAGTTTGGGTCATGATCCCGGGGTTCTGGGATTGAGCCCCACATCGGGCTCCCTGCTCGGAGGGAAGCCTGCTTCTCCCTCTCCCACTCCCCCTGCTTGTGTTCCCTCTCTCGCTGTCTCTGTCAAATGAATAAAATCTTAAAGAAAAAAAAAAGCTGAAAAGCTTCCCCTTGGGAATCTGGAATTTAAGCTCTTTCTGTTGGTGAGAACACCAGCCTCCGCCTCCAGGCTGCCCACCAGACCTCCCCCAGGTGTGAACATTCCTCCCTGAACAAGAGCGCTCCCACCTGGCTGCTGGAGAAATGATTCATGCTCGTAATTGGAAACGGAGCAGTGTTGCTTACCTGGACTCGACAGGCTGACGAAGTTGTGGGGGAAATCTTCAGCTGAAAAATGCCCAACTGGTTGTGTGTGTCTGTGTGTGCCCGCCCCAGCCCTGTGTGTGTGTGTGTGTGTGTGTGTGTGTGCGCGCGCGCGTGGGCCTGCACCCAGCCCTGGACAAGGATGCTGGGAACTTCGCAGCTGTCTGTCCTTCCCGTCAGATTGGCTGGGCCTGAGGAGGGAAAGGCGGCCCCGTGGGCGGGTGGAGGAGGAGCTGGGTCAGGGGGCTGGGGGGACACGGTGCCCCAGAGCATCTGCGCTTGTCCTCTCAGTTGGAAGGAAGCTGGGGCCCGTGTCCCTGGGAGTACGAGCCCTTTTCTGAATTTCTCTGTTCTCAGTTTTCTGCCTTAGGGCGTGATTTTTCAAAGCCTTCTCTCGAAGGCAGTGGGGCCAGGGCCCTGGGAGCCATCCTGGCCGGGGTGATACCCCAGGCCAGAGGGTCTGGGGCTGGCTTGTCCCTGCAGCTGGGCCCTGGGGCCTGTGTGCTCAGCGACCTCGCCAAGGGATGTCGGGCATGTTCTGGAAGGACGTGAGCTTCTCTCCAAGACCCTCCTCAAGACCCTATTCTTTCCTCTATAGTCGTCGCTACAGTTTAGCCTCTTTCCCGTGTTAAACGTGCTTGTATTTATTTTACACAAACTTCCCCGAAGTCCCCGGGGCCCCCCGGTCGTCTGTCCTAAAACCCAAGTGGACTCTAATACGTGACAGAGCCGCTTGGCGACGGACAGCCTGCGAGATCGACAGGGTTTGCTTTCGTGCCTGAGCATTTTCTGTGCTCACTCGGGGCTCTGGTGGGACAGGCCACGGTGGCACCTGACGCTATAGTTGCCCTCGCAGGACACGGCAGGGGGCGCAGCAGGACCCAGGGACCAAGACGGGACAGTGGCCGAGCCAGGCACGGGGAGATGTGCCTTCGGAGGCGAGTCCTGCCGCCCCGGGGTTGGGCCTTCCAACTGCGGCCGCGTCTTGCCATCAGAGCTGCGGACTCTGAGCTGCCCGGGGCCTCCCCACGCTCTCAGCCCCCCCGGGATCCCCCTAGGGGTGAGAGGTGCCTCCATTTCCACACACTTCCTAGGGGCTCAGAGGACAGAAAGGGAGCCCTGCCCGGGACCCCAGGTGGTGGGTGTCCTGTCGGGTGGGAGGGCAGATGCCGGACCCTTCCCCGAGGCCGTCCCGGTTCCACTGCCCGCAGAGCTGTGTGGCTGTGGGAAGATTCCTCAGCTTCTGTGTCCGGACTTGTCTTCTGTAAGGGGAGCAGAGCCACGGGGAGGGTCCCCTGAGGGGCTCAGGACGTGGCAGGTGTGACAGGTTGTAGCGTATTGAATACACCTGCTGTCACCCACGCACACTCTCTGCAGAGCAGGTGGCAGGAGGGCCACAGCCATCAGCCAGAGTGACGTCAGCTGGGAACCCAGCACGGGACCTTGTTTGAAAA